TTCCAATTTCAATAGAATAATTTAATCGGCAAACCATGCTCACGATGGTGTCGATGGTGTACGATTTAAAACTTGTTTATTTTAACTGAAATCCTATAAAGGTGAATAAAATTTGTTTCTTTCTGCAGTAAAACCCCTCGTGTTTACAAGATCAAAACATTTAGCCAAGTTTTCAAAATGATAAAAGTGGCTGCTCTTTGTCAAGAAGCATAGCCTCTAATTTAATCGTAAATTGAATGACGAATATTTGGATATTGAAATTTTGATTGACAAATATTTAGCGCCTTATTTGATCATTATTACTTCAAAACTCTTTATTTTACAGACTTATTTTCAACTACACATTCACACAATAATATATTTAGTAAGTAAATCCAAATTTTTTTCTACTTTTAAATCACACATTCTCTAAAAATTCACAATTCAAAACTTTATTTTTGCCAAATAATAGCCATCAAACAAGAGCTTAATTCAAACATTTTTAAAGTCATTTATAATATCCTATTTTATATAATATTTAGTCTTATACCTAGGCCTGGACAAAGAAATCTAAAAATCGACCAAACCAATCAAATCGAACCGACTTGGGTGATTGACACAGTTTTTTTTTTTTTAAACAAAATCATGGTAAGTCGGTTCAGTCATGGTTTGAAATCTCAAAACAGTTAACCGAATAAAAATCCACTTAAATATTTTTTTTATTTAAGAAAATAAAAATAAAGAAATAAACCATAATCTTATAAGTATATTTCGATTCCTTCCAATCTATGATATTGCGGTAAGTAATAACATTGAGAACTTCCTTTCACAAGTTTATTATATTATACTTAGCATTTTTTCCTATTCAGACAGTTAGACTACACAATACATAGAAAAACTACAAAACTTTATTAACGTAATTTTATTTGTTAGTCAATAGCTCTTGTAATATAAAATTATTTGGTTATTTTAATTCTTGTAATTTAAGTGGGCCTAAAATTCGAACAATTTAAAAAAAAAAAAAATCAATTTGAACTAAAAGTCCAAACCGAATAACCGAACCAAACCAAATGGTAGAACTAGAATGGGTTGGTTTGAGTTGAAATTCAAAACTGACTAATTTAATTTCAGTTATCGATTGGAGATGAAATCGACCCAAACTGAACCACGCATAGACCTACTTATACCTCATAACTTTGTGTTATGTCCCATGTTTGGAGTAGGTTTTATCTACTAAACTTTTAAAGTCAAAATAAAAAATTATTTTTAGCTACACATTTCTTGGATTCACAACTTTTCAATTACACATTTCATCAATTTTTATTAAAATTTACCAAAAATCAACGAGTAGATATATAATATCAACATTTGAGAATTTTAGTATAAAAGATTAATTAATTTAACTTGAAATTTATAATATAATATTCGCCTAACATTTAATCCAATAAAATCTATCATCCTATATGTTCATTCTTGTATATACTTTCTTTTACACTTTGTCACATGACACCATCATCCCTATTAATTTTCTCAATAATCATTTTTTTTAATCCAAATTATGCCACATAATAAAGACTAGAAGGAACGATGTACACAATAATGCACGTCTAATGTAATTATAAAGGATTATTCCATTTGTACAAATGTATAGTTCCCTCAATGAGTGATCCCCACGAATAAATATTTAACCCCATTTGGTAGAAATTTTTCATTCTAAAAAATCAATATTTTTTATAGTTATTTCATTATTTTAGCCATCTTTTTGACTTCTTCACTCATATGTGGGGCTCACTTTCTTTCTAACGATTAAAAAAATCAATTTTCATAATCACTATCGAACAAACCTTTAACGTAAATCATGTGCGGATGCTGTGTAACTTAATATACACTCTTATGTACAACAAACATTTTTCGATTGTAAAAGCAAATCAGTGGTCCTTCAAGATGTCCTAAAGTACAACAACCGCTGAACCGTCAGGTCAACACAATTGCCCCCACCTAATTTCAAATTCATCTTTTTCTTCATTCGAAGTATTACAAATTGCATATGGATTACTTTCTCTTTAAGTCAGTATTTGATAACGTTACTCCATATATTTTTTTTCCTCTCAAAAGGTGATAAAAATTTCAAATTTAAAAAAAAAAAAAAAGAATTCTTTTAAAAAGTTGTAAGTTTGGTGCTTTTCAAATTTTATGATTCCCTGCTGCGAATGAGAGCGTGGTGAACTTTTGTCTATAATATAAATAAAAAATCTCGTTAAGTACGGAAAAATTTCAAGAATAATTCAGGTTGTATAGGCCACTATTTCACAGTGCTGTACAAGCCAGATACATGTCGAGGTGAGTGAGTGGGCGGGGGTGGGTGATTATTTAAAAAAATAAAAATCACCCACCCCCTTCCATGTGTGAATGGCCTGTATAGCCAGTTCAGTTAAAGTTTCAAAAACTTTTCTTACATCAATTAAGGAATGAAACCTCCTAGGGTATGTTTAAGCTTCTTTAATTTTGAAAAATGTATTATCGAATAGTAGATTGATGGAGAATACTTGATTAAAAAAGAAGCAAAATTTTGATTTGTGTATAATATTATTTTAATGAAAAGTGTATGGTTGAAAATGAATATCGTGGAAAAAATAATATCGTAGAATGTAAAATAATGGGTGACAATGTTTGTCCAACTAAGCCCCTGTTTGTCATCCTTTACTTTACATTCTTCTCATTATCTTTTTACAGTATTTATTTTTAATCACATTCTTCTTTTTTAACTCAACATTTTCCATCAGTCACAATTCCACAATATATTCCTCCAAATTAATGGGGTTCAAATAGGGCCTAAATAAAGGCTTGTTTGACGGCCTTTAAAATTTTAAATTATTTGCTACAGTATTATTTTCTACCATACATTCACAAAATAAAATATTCTACACACAAATCATCGAAATTTATTTACTTTATAACCATACATTCTCTAACACATACTATTCAAAACTCTTTATTTTGACAAATAATGAGTGACAAACAGAGCCTAAGAAAGATTTTTAATAATTTTAACAAATTCATATATGTTTTTATTTGTAATTCGTTTATATAATGATATAAGTGCTAATTTATATGATATCTATTTCTTATTCTTCTTCTTTATGACTCAAGGGTGAGGCTTGCCTGATTAATCTTGAGGAGTGATGACCTTCCTTCCTAGTTTGCCACATCTATTTCTTCTTAATATGAAACAAAATGGTTAGAAAGGAGAATTATTTGCTACAGTATTATTTTCTACCACACATTCACAAAATAAAATATTCTACACACAAATCATCGAAATTTATTTACTTTATAACCATACATTCTCTAACACATACTATTCAAAACTCTTTATTTTGACAAATAATGAGTGACAAACAGAGCCTAAGAAAGATTTTTAATAATTTTAACAAATTCATATATGTTTTTATTTGTAATTCGTTTATATAATGATATAAGTGCTAATTTATATGATATCTATTTCTTATTCTTCTTCTTTATGACTCAAGGGTCTGAGGCTTGCCTGATTAATTTTGAGGAGTGATGACCTTCCTTCCTAGTTTGCCACATCTATTTCTTCTTAATATGAAACAAAATGGTTAGAAAGGAGAATTGTTCCCTTTGTTTATGATATTTTCAAGAACAAATACAGTTGAGAAGTGGTGGGACTTGTAATTTGAAAATTAGAGCATGTCACTATGATCACATCATTGAAAACTGTGAATTAATCACCTTATAGCATATAAAATTTACTGATGACAATTTGATCCAAAAAATCCAAGCCACTGCCCAAAACAAGGGACAGAGGGTGGGCGAGACACTCTAGGCCCCCGATTATTTAGTTATTTAAAAAAAAAAATTTTTTTGGTCTAAAATCACTTTAACTCAACTTTTATATCCAAACTCGGGATTGTTTGAGCCCCATTTTTCTAAACTGTACAGAGGGGGGTACATAAGGGTGTCCATTATGGACACCCGGCACCCCCCTATTGGAGGGGGCGTCAGTGGGCCAGGCGCTCCCTCCAATAGGGGGGTGCCGGGTGTCCATTATGGACACCCTTATGTAATGGACACCCTTATGTACCCCCCTATGTACTTGTAGCAAAGTTCAAAAAAAAAAAGTGAGTTTGCGTGTAATATTATTTTAGTGAAAAATATATAGTTGAAATAATATTAAATTACTGTTAAAGAATGTATTTTAATAAAAAATGGGGCTCATACAAGGGCTTGAATCAATTACTTAAATTTCATTAGTTTAATATTCAAATTATCCTAACATTTATGAAGGAAAAAAATAAAAATAATAAAAGGTTATAAAGGGTACCATAAATTGCCTTGTCCATCGGTGCCACCCATAATTGGTTTGCTCTAAGTCCTATTTTCGAGGAAAATAAATCTTGTAGCCGTGATTTTTCAGAAAAATATGTGCTTAAAAAGTAGAAAAATTTTAAATTTATTTTATTGAATGAACGTGTAATACCCTTGTTTGATCCCCATTAAATTAAATTACATTACATTCCATTTTTCTCTCTCATATTTTCAACCACACAATCTTCCATAAAATAATATTACACGTAAATCGAAAACTTTTCCTTCTTTTTCAATCACTCATTTTTCTAAAAAATACTATTCCTCCAATTTTCATTTTTAGGTAATGGGATCAAATAGGGGGTAAAAAAATGAATTTAAAAAAAATAATAATTTGGAGGATGGACTCAAACATGGGCGTCATATGGTAATGGCTAAAAGAGTAACATTATTTACAATTATTTACTGTCGTAATTATTTTATGTGACATACATGTGACAGTTAGTAATTTGATATCGGTAATGAGCGATTGCAAATAACATTATTCTAATTGAAAATTTGGTTTTATTTATTTATTTTTATTTTTTATTTAAGGGAAAAAAATAAACTGATTTGAAACGATTTTCATTGCAAGACGGGACCTCATCGGACCCCAACCACAATAATTCAAGTATACGACAAATAATTTTCTGACAGAGGAACTTCAATTTCAGATCTTCAAAAGCAAATCCCATTTTCAAAATCTTTTTGATAATTTTTTGCTTTGCATGACCAAAGGTCCAAGCACAGTAAAATCAAGATTCGTTTGCATCACAATTCGCATATAACGTAATGTAATCGTGTTTTTCGGTAAGCCCAATGCTCTGCTCCCTTGTCTCGCCCTTTTCATCACCTGTGCCATTTTGATTTTGTTTTCTTCTTTCAGCTTTTCTTGTCCTTTTATTATCAATCTCCTTCGATTCTGCACTTACTGGTAAATGTCTGGCTTTCGTTCTAGATATCATAATTCTTTTGGTATGAGTTTCTTTAATTGAATAGATTCTTGGGCTATAATCTGATCGAACCCACCTTTATCTTAATCTTTTAGTAAGTGCTGTTTTATAATAGCAATTTAAAGGAACAAACTCTCTACTAATGCTGCTTTTATGGTCTAATGGATGTATTTAACATTGTATTTGTGCATTAGCATTAATCGGAAATATTGAAAAGTTTGTTTTCTTGCTAATGTTAAAAGGAATATTCACTAAAGGTCATAAATTGTATGGTTTTTTCAGGAGCTCTTAATTAGAGAAAGGTGACTTTTGAATACAAGAAAGTGTAAGATTTTCTTTTGTTGTTTGTTTCTGGGCAAAAATGCTGTGTGCTTGTTCAGGAGAGCAGTTCAAGTTTGAAGAACCTGCGCCGCAGTCGCCGGAATCACTGGCCACAAGAGATTTCTCTGCAAGTGGCCTTTCTTCAACAACTGGAAATTTGGATTGGGAATCCAAACTTGAAGATGCTCAAGTGGATGAAGCTGAATCCACATTGAAAGAGGCACTTTCCTTGAATTATGAGGTACACTAATGTACCTCAAGATGTTAGCTCTTACACTCGAGAAATGAATTCGTAGAATGCAAAATTTTGCTGATAAAATTGGTTTTTGATGTTGTAGGAAGCTAGAGCATTGCTGGGGAGGCTTGAATACCAGAGGGGAAATTTTGATGCTGCCCTTCAAGTGTTTCAAGGGATTAACGTTAGGACTTTATCGTCAAGAATGTCGAATTCTATTGCTGAGCGAACTCGATCACGAAAGCGCTCCAAAGGAGAAAATGTGCTTGCTGCTGGGATGTCACTGCATTCTGTGAGTCTACTTCTCGAAGCAATTCTACTGAAAGCGAAATCATTGGAGGAGCTCGGCCGAGTCGAAGGTATCATATTCAAAAACTTGTAATCGATTTTTCTGTGAAATACCCGTGGTAGAATGACTTTGGACTTACATAACCAATTTCAGAGTCATATGACGTATAGATAATGGCTCTGATAATCTATTTTCGGATTACTGATTTACCAGAGGCAGCAAGAGAGTGTAAAATGATTTTGGATATAGTTGAATCAGCTTTTCCTTATGGTATACGAGAGAGTATTAATGAAGACTTCAAGTTGCTGGAGATGTTTCACAAAGCGCTCGAGTTGCTTCCCAAGCTATGGATAGAATCGGGCTTTCTAGACGAAGCTATTACTGCCTTCCGTAGGGCTCTAGTCAAGCCGTGGTGTCTGGACCCTCGAAGATTGGCTAAAGTACAGAAGGACTTAGCTGCCCTGCTTCTCTATGGAGGTGTTGAAGCTAGCCTTCCTTCTCATTTTAAATCATGGGGACCAGCATTTCCGACAAACAATATGGAGGAATCGATCCTTTTACTGTTTATCCTTGCGCAGAAGATTCTATATCACGAAATTGAGTGGGATCCAGAAGTTATTGATCATTTAACTTTTGCACTCACAATCTCTGGGCAATTCGAGTCTTTGGCAGATCATGTAGAGCAAATTCTTCCCGGGATATATAATCGCGCTGAGAGGTGGTACTTTCTTGCACTTTGCTATGGCGCTGCAGGTCAGTATGAAACGGCGCTTAACCTTTTAAAGAAAGTAGCTGGGTCTTCAGAAGCAAAATGCAAACCTCACTTGGCATCGTTCTTGCTAGGAGCAAAATTATGTGCTGAAGATTCAAAGCAGGCTCGTCAAGGGATGGATTTTGCACTGAAAGTGATCGATGTTTCAATAAACCAAAATGAGCACTTATTAGGCGAAGCTCACAAGTTCCTTGGAGTCTGCTATGGAAATGCAGCAAGGATGTCCATTTCGGATTCTGAGAGAAGTTCGTTTAATAGAGAATCATTGAACTCTTTAAACCATGCTTCTTCTATTGGCACTTGGGATCCAGAGATCAAGTTTAACCTTGGGTTAGAAAATGCCATTCAAAGGAACTTGGCTTCGGCCTTTGATAACACAATGCTGTATTCAGAGATGACGGCCACAAGTTCAGAAAGAGGTTGGAAACTACTGGCTCTAATCTTATCTGCTGAGCAGAGATTGAGAGATGCTGAAGACATTGTCGATCTTGCCATAGATGAAAGTGGAAGTATTCACCAACTGGAACTTCTAAGGTTGAAAGCCGTCCTTCAGATAGCTCAAGAACAACCGAAGCAAGCCATAGAGACCTATCGGATACTGCTATCTTTGATTCAAGCACAAAGAGAACGTTGCGAAAAGAACACTGATTATGAGGTGCGCATACTTTATCCATATGTTGATACCTTATATATAATTCACAGCAATTTTAGTCATAACTCAGAATTTTCTCTCTTCAATTGCAGGCACTAGTTGAGAGAAAATTGGAAGTAGAAGCGTGGCTAGATTTGGCAGGGCTTTATTCTGATCTTAAATCATGGCAAGATGCAGCCATTTGTATAGACAAAGCCAAGTTAATTGAAATGTATTCCCATCGTTGTTGGCACACTACAGGTTGGACATGTCTTCCCATTCCTTCAGTTAAACAAAATTTATGTTCATCCTCGATGAACTTATTTTCCTGAAATCGTGCAGCAAAACTTTTCGAAGTTCAAGCACAATACAAGGAAGCAGTCATTGCTTTATCGGTTTCATTGTCAATAGAACCAGATTACGTCCCAAGTATTGTTTCGAGTGCTGAAGTATTGTTAAAAATGGACGACCACTCGCTCCCTGTCGCAAAAAGTTTATTGATGAATGCAATGCGTTTGGAACCCACAAACCACGATGCATGGTTCAACCTCGGATTGATTTATAAGAAGGAAGGTTCGATACAGCAAGCAGCGGACTGTTTTCAAGCTGCTCATGAGCTCAAACTTTCTGCTCCAGTTCAAAGCTTCAAATGACAGGAACTTCCCCTGATTTCGATCCCCAAAAGTTCAATAACATGGCAGACGTTACTTGTAATATGAGCAGCGATACCTCCGCAGATTCAAGAACAGGTTGCGTGATTGGCATTCTTTTCTTAGACTAGAGGTCGTATATTTACTTTTGTAAAAGTGACTGTCTAATGAAGGAATTGTACCAATTTGAAGGGAAAGGGGCATTTGTCGTAGTACTTGCCATTACATATTCTCAGTAAATTTAAAATTGACTATATACGTAATTACATGAGATTCAATTTTACATCCAATAGAAGATTCAATTAAAAAAATAAAAATAAAAATTGGAGTATGAAGCAATAATACATCATCTTCAAATTTGATTGAGCAAAGTAATAATAATAATAAAAAAATTAAAAAAATGTTATTTTACTTGTTGATCTCAAATATACGTTTCTTAAATGGCTTCCAGATTGACATTTAAAAAAATAAAAAAATAAGGAGAGTACAAATAAGAAACCATCATTTTCCGCCCCCGGGGCATAATCCAGTGGTGCAAAGGACAAGAGTGAGGTAATCTTACGTCTTACTGGCAGCCGCAGTGTGGGAGTTCGATTTCTGAGACATGGAATTAGACTCTTTGTAGGCGCAGTGTACAGGCAGTTCTTGTTTTTTAGCCTGTTGGGGTACATCCAACAATTTATCTCCCTCACAAAGCTCGAGGAGCGAGGCGGTGGGGGTTTTCAAGGTTGGGGTTCAACCTTTAAGAAACCATCATTGTCCTGAAGAAGTAGAAGTATAATGTAATTTTAAGAATGTACGGTTCAACTGTACACAGATGATACCATGCAGGGAAGAACACAATTTTAGACAAAACATTCAGTCTTATTTTCAGTTCTTTGAAACCAGAATCCAGTTTATCTTGAGAAAACCTCCACCAAAGAAGCTTTTACTCCAGGCAGATGGATTTATGAGACTAAACTTGTTCTTCACGAAATCTGCAATGCAAGAACGATTAATTTTGTAAGAACCATCCATTAATGGTGCAGTGTCTCGTATACAGTGAATATATAAGCAATATTATAAGACTCAGGATTTTTGGTAAAACTATAACCATACTTTCTGGAGCGATACAAGTGTGCTAGAGCCCTAAGAAAAATAAAAATAAATAATGCTCTTCCAAATCAATGATGTTCAAATTCAAGAATGTACTGACCATGAAGGTGAGCTTAGAATATAGTTCGCATATAAGAGAGAGTTTCCCCCCACAGCAATAATGGGCTAAAAGATTTACTACTTTGATATTTGTTTCAAATGTACTATTCTTCAAATCTCGAAAAAGGTTACGCCCCTCATTGCCTAAGAGTCCTTGCTTCAAGTTATCTCGCCTTGCTAATGGTTGGAAGTCTTACTGCAACTGTCCGTCCTAGCTATTGGCTAACTATGTGGGAGAGGAGGGATGTCATAATTGGAGTTTTGATTTTTGATTTTTTTTTTTTGAAAAAGGAATAAGAATCAGAGGTGTTAAATTATTTCCAGTGTAAAAGTAAGTTATTTCAGGTGTAAAAGTAAGAAACAATAAGAAACAGAGTTTTATTTTTCTTTATATTTACCGTTACTCTAACATGTTCAATGATTTTTGCTGACCCGATAATTGGACCCTCCACGTGATCAACGGATAGCTACTCCACATAATCCTCTCTGCGCACAACAACGCACGGTCAGAAACATACGATCGGAACCAGCGGTGGTGGTGACGACCGCATACACTCCGACGGTCAAGTCAGCGTTGGGTGATCGGAACAATACTCAAGTTATGCAAGAGAGTGGAGAGGAGAATATATATTACTTAGTATGGAGAGCTAAGTTAGAGTTTCATTACCCCTGTCTTGTGCTAAACTTTGGGTATTTATAAATGTAGAGCACTGTTAGATTTGGGATGCGTGTATGCATCTGATGGTGTGAGGCGTCTGCTCATAGGCGTCAATCAGCCGCGTCTAGTGTGGCCGGCAATTAGTTCTTCTGAGTTGAGTTGACATAAAGTCGATATGTCATATCAACTAGACTTATGGAGACGTCACATCAAGATCCTGACAGATATCTTTCTGACAATGGCCGCGGAGGGATCTGTTAAAGGAGTGCCCTGGATCCTTAAACGATTCGGCGTTAGGGGCACTTTGGTTGCTTCATTGGATCTACTCTTCACCTTGCAGCGTGCCATGTTGAGGTCCTCAGGAATTGGTATCACTTCGGATGTACACTTGTCACTTCAGAGAGTGTTGTGACTGTTGTGCCGAAGTGGTTTAGTTAGGGGCGTAACATTGGTCCCCCAAAATTCATGCATGAATATTCATATCATGGGTGGACTTGTTTTCTCGAATGTGTATGTCGGCCTTAAGTTTTGCAGATTCTGATGTAGTGCTGATGTGAAAAGATGAAGTAAGAAGATGTGCCGGATAGCTATTGATTGAGACAGAGTGATGATAGAGGTGATGTGGATAGATGGCATCAACCGGTTGCGCCGAAGCTTGTAAAGTTGGGTGAAGAGCTCATCTACCACCGATACGCTGGCCCATACGGGTCGACGCGTTGGAAGATGGCTAATGTATTGTAAAGCTGAGCCGTGCGACCGAGACGGTGACCCACAGGAAACTCCGCATCAGTGGCGCCGAAGCTTTAGGAGTGGGTGAGGAGCTCATCTGTCACCGGTGTGCTAAACCACAGGGAATGACACATTGGGAGATGGCTAAAGCCTTGTGAACCTGAGGAAACGTGCGATCGAGGCGGTGATGTACAGGGGACTCTACGTCAGTTGCACCGAGGCTTGTAAATTTGGGTGAAGAGCTCATCTGCCATCGTTACGCTAGCCCGTAGGGGTCGACGCGTTGGAAGATGGCTAACGCATTGTAAAGCTGAGCTGTACGACTGAGGCGGTGACCCACAGGAGACTCCGCGTCAGTGGCACCGAAACTTTAGGAGTGGGTGAGGAGTTCATCTGCTACCAGTGCGCTGACCCACAGGGGATGATGCGTTGGAAGATGGCTAAAGCCTTGTGTAGCTGAGAAAACGTACGACCGAGGCAGTGACCTATAGGAGACTCCGCGTCAATTGCACCGAGGCTTGTAAAGTTGAGAAGTGCATTCATCTGAGACGAATTGGGATAGATTATCTCCGATATGAAGTGTTGTTATGACTCTAATCGATGTAACAGCTGTCAGGTATTTACAAGGTGACAGTTGGATGTGATGCCTGTTCCCAAAAAAAGGGCTGTTGCGGCTACTTATTGTTGACGGCTGCTGTTTGTTTGAGGTGACGCATTTTACGCGTGTGTGAGGGGCACAGTCAAATCTTGTGCGTTGATCAAATTTGGCGTTTAATTTCAACGATCCAGATTTATGATGAGTTCAACGGTCCAGATTGACATCCGTTTGAATTCAACGGCGGAGATCATCTGAGGTCTCCTATAACAGGGGAACTTATTGCCATTTCAACATTTTACCTTTGTAAACTCAGAATTCCCTTTGTTTGTCGAATTGTTGGCGATTTCTGACGAATTTCAAGCGTTTCCCGATGACATTTCCGTTTCTCGGTGTTAGGACATCCATTGTGGTCGAGTCCCATAAGTATTTCTGAGTTTTCATAACTTTTTCTAAAAAACTATGGCCTGTGAGGGTAAGGGATGTTCTAGAGGGACCACACCGCTTCCGGTACTGAAGAGTACCTAGCTTCTGCTAGTCCCGCATGCCTCGCCAGAGCCCTGAGCACAAGTATCCAACTTGAGGCTGTGGTGAAGGACCTAAGAGCAAAAAATGTTGATCTGGCCAAGTGGCGACCTTACAATATGGGGAGGCAGTGAGAGAGGCCAAGGCCAAAATTGAAGAGGCAGAGAGGAAGAGGGTAGAGGTGGAGAGCCAGTTGGGGAGGGCTAACTCTGATGTTGAGAGGATGAGGAAAGAACTCCATGAGATGGAGAGCCAGGTAGCTGCTTTGATGAGGCGACTTGATCACACTAGCGAGCATCACCGTTTGGCTACGGAGGCCTCTAACAAAGAGAAGGTTGAGCTGAGGCAGAGGGCGAAGGCCCAAGTGGAAGAGATTGAGTCGCTAAAGGCTGAGGCGAAGGTGGTCGGTGAATCTGCAGTGTAGCATTTCATTGATCATTTCGAGGAGCATCCTTTATACGACACCTTCGCCAACTACTGGGGCTCCTGGAATGCCCAGGCCATGCCGGAGTGGCTGAAGGAGGTTCATCCGACACTGGACATTTTTGCTCTTGAGGCGGAGTTCGGTGGACCTACTAGGGGTCGCCCAAATATGGCATATGCAGAGGAAGCTGTGGAGCCTTCCCAGGAGGTGGAAGTGGGGAATAAGGCCATAGTGCCAATAGACTAGGGTTGCATTGTAACGGCTTTGGCCCAACTTGTAATATTTTGGATATTAATGAAATTAAATTTTTTCCAAGTGTTTTTGCTTCTTACTTTTATGTTTAATTGTGTATCTTGATGAGTTATGGACTTAAGTAAATCTTAAACATTGCTTACCAACTAGTCGATGACAGAACTGATCCACGTAAAATATTGGAGAATTGAGGCACCAATTGATTAACCCACATAACATAATGGAGAACTGAGGTATTATAACTTATATTATCTTTTTACCAAGGCAGTTCAACACTTAGTAAGATAGGAATGTTACAATATCGAGCAAAATGTAGATCGGATCAAGACACATTATTGATAGTACTTCCTCAAGTGTTCAATGTTCCACTGATGTGGCAGTACCTTCCCTGCCATGTCTTCTATTTCATAAGTGCTGGGTCGGGACTCTTTGTAGATGCGATAAGGACCTTCCCAGTTCAGTCCAAGCACTCCGGACCTAATTGGCTTCGATGATTGGAAGACCCTTCTGAGGACGAGGTCCTCCACACGAAGAGTTCGATTTCTGACCTTAGAGTTGTAATAACCGGTCATCTTTCTTTGATACTTAGCCAATTTTATTTGAGAGGAATCCCTCATTTTTCAATTAGGTGAAGCCCTTGCACTCGAGCTTCATTGTTGTAGCTCTCATTGAAATATATCCGACGATGAGAGGGGACACCCACCTCGACAGGACTCATGTCTTTGGATTCGTAGGTCATAGAGAATGGTGTTTCACCTGTTGTAGTTAGGCTGGTTGTTCAAATGGCCCAGAGGACATTCCTTTTCAGGGTATGCTTGATAGTTTTGTTCACTGCCTCAACCTGCCCG